CTTCCCTAGCCTTTGGTTTTCATCTCCATTGCACCAAAAGCCATTTCGCTCATTATTTTATGTGCTCTCTTTGACACCTCCAACTTTTAAAATATGTAATACTTTGCTTTGCTGCATTGGAAGGGAAAGAGAATTCTAATTCTATTCTGCGCTGAGATTCAATGATTATCCCATGCCTACAGATACGCACAGTAGAGTGCAATTAGTTATTTGATACAGTTCTCTGAGCCATAGTCTTTGTAACTCCCACCAAACTACTTTTTCCGTGATGGGTCTGCATAAGAGGAGGTGGGGAAGACGCTGATAGGTTTGCAGGCTTAGTTATGAGGGATGGTTCCTAGGCTGTTTTAGTCATTGTAGTTTTCTAGGAAAACAAAACAACAACAAAATGTCAAACTCACTGCCATCTAGTGCCTTCTGACTTATAGCCATCCTGTAGGACAGAGTAGACCTGCCCCTGTGAGTTTCTGAGCCTGTAAATCTTCTACAGAAGCCCAAAGCCTCATCTGTCTCTAGACCAGTGGTGCTCAACCTTCTTAATGCCGTGACCCTTTAATACAGTTCCTCATGTGGTGTTGACTCCCAACCTTAAAGTTATTTTCTTTGCCAATTCGTAACAGTAATTCTGTTACTGTTATGAATTAGGCAACCCCTGTGAAAGGGTCATTTGACTCCCCAAAGGGATCGTAACCCACAGGTTTAGAACCCCTAGAGGCTAGAGAATCAGCTGGTGGTTTTGAACTGCTGGACTTGCCTTTAGCAGCTCGATGCATAACCCACTATACCACCAGGGATCCCTGCGGCTTTATATTGTTGTTGTTAGGTACCACCGAGTTGGTTCCCACCCACAGCGACCCAATGCACAACAGACAAAACACTGCCCCATCCTGCTCAATCCTCACAATTATTTGTGCTGAAACCCATTGCTGCAGCCACCCTGTCACTCCATCTCATAGCGGGCCTTCCTCTCCTCCGCTGCCCCTCTGCTTCCCCAAGCATGCTGTCCTTCTCCAGCAACTGGGCTCTCCTGACAGCATCAGATTCTTCCCCGCACCCTGGTTGTTTTGTTCCTAATGGCTGAAGGCTGGATTGGTCTCGTGGTTTAGTGACTTCCTCCTGACAATTTTTCTGCTTTTGTGTTGACACAAAAGCATTCCTTAGCTTGTGGTCAGCTAGGATTTGGGTAGGTTTTCTTGAATGCCACAGGGTGAGAAAAACAAGTCATCTGCCACTATCTTTACAGATCAGCTCTGTGATGTATTTCCCACTTTCTCAACGCACAGCCAGACCTGCACTGAGCCTAGAGGTGGGCATAGTTTTATTTGGCTCATCTTTCCACCCCCCTGGATTTTCCTCCCAGACCTTTGGCTCCTCTTATATGTCTCCATCATACTTCCAAACCCCAGGCAGCTGGTCACTCTGCTGCCCTCTGAGATAGAGTAGGGCGAACAGATAACACCTTGTGGCAGCCTCTCAAGTAGCCACTACCTAGGCTTGAATAATTTGCAAATAGCCTGCTTTGCTCCCTCTACATCCAGAAACCAGGCTCAGGCTACCCTCCTTGAGAAGACTGATCATGGTAGGTCGACAAAGGAGCCCTGGTGACGTAGTGGTTACAAGGAGGGAGAAAGACAAGCTTGCCACTCCTGTAAAAAGCTGTAATCTCAGTTTTACCCTGTCCTATAGGGTCGCTAGGAGTCGGACTCGACCAGATGGCAATGAATTTGACAGTGAGTGGTTCTCCAGTAACCACAATTTAAGTCAGGGAGTTAAGTACAAGCTGATAGGAAACCGCAGTGTCCCTATCGTTTGACTTGGCCCATTTCATGATTCAGCATTCACTTGGTAGCTGGAGACTTGGATTGGTTTCTGGAGCCTGCCAAAATTTGCAAGGTAGAATTGTGATAGTTGGGGGAGGGAGAGGGAGGAAGCATTATGTTGGTGCTATACTATACCCTGACTGGCTCATCTCTTCCTTGTGACCCTTCCATAAGGGGATCTGTAGACAATTGGACATCCTCTATCATTAATTTTTAATCTATGCTCTCTTCCTGTACACAATTATTACACCCACCTTTCTGTATAATACTACTTTGCAGTTTTTCCTGTCTGACTTTACAGATTTTTTTCTTTCTGTGTTTTTGTATTCGTTATAAAGGCAACTCAGCCTTTTCTTTTTTTTTTCTTTTTTCCTTTTTTTTTTTCCTTTTCTTTTTTAAAGTCCACAGTTAACCCTACATCAGTTCGGTAATGCCCACATGTACACGAAAGTGACATTGATTACATTCTCGAAGCTGTGCCACCCTCCTCACGTCCTTTTCCAAAGTATTCCCTCACTATGAGGATAAACTCACTGCCCCCTCTGCTTCACAGCCGACGTTTCAAAGTGCTGTTGCCAATGGGATCTCCTGTCCATAATTATTTTGAGCAAAATGCTGAAGGCGGATGTGTCACCTATTATGATAAACATTACGTTCAGTTTGAAGATGCCCTAAAGGGGTAGTTTCCCTGTAAGTTTGGAGAATTAGCTCGGAGGCCATGTCTGACCTCTTGCTGCTACACACGGTGGGTGGAGAATCCAACTACACATCAGCCCAAGGAGGACACCTTTGAGGCAGAAACAAAAAGTACCTCTACCTTTCAGCCTTCTGTTTTGTTTTTTTCAATCATTTTATTGGGGCTGGGGGCTCTTACAAATCTTATGACAATCCATCATTCAATTGTATTAGGCACGCTTGTACATATATTGCCATCAATATTTCCCAAACATTTTCTTTTTAATCATTTTATTGGGGGTTCATACTACTCTTATCACAATCCATACATACACCCATTTTGTGAACCACATTTGTACATTCGTTGACCTCATCATTCTCAAAATATTTACTCTCCACTTAAGCCCTTGGTATCAGCTCCTCATTTTTTGCCTACCCTCCCCTCTCCCCCCTCCCTCATGAACCCTTGATAGTTTATAAATTATTATTATTTTGTCATGTCTTACACTGTCCAACGTCTTCCTTCACCCTGTTGTCCATCCCCCAGGGAGGAGGTTATATGTAGATATTTATAATCGGTTCCCCCTTTCCACCCCACCTTCCTTCCACCCTCCCGGTATCGCCATTCTCACCACTGGTCCTGAAGGGATCATCTGTCCTGGATTCCCTGTGTTTTCAGTTTCTATCTGTACCAGTGTACATCTTCTGGTCTAGCCAGATTTGTAAGGTAGAATCGGGATCATTATAGTGTTGGTGGGAAAGCATTTAAGAATTAGAGGAAAGTTTTATGTTTCATTATTGCTATACTGCACACTGACTGGCTCATCTCCTCCCCATGACTCTTCTGTAAGGGGATGTCTAGTTGCCTGCAGATAGGCTTTGGGTTCCCACTCTGCACTCCCCACCTCATGCACAGTGATATGATATTTTGTTCTTTGATGCCTAAAACCTGATGACTTCTGTTTCTTACACCAAAGGTACGTCTACCTTCCCCCCTCTGTTTTCTGTTCAGACACCACTAGCCTTCCCACAACCCTATTCTTTGGTGGGTGTGAGAGTCTGTTCCCGTGGACCTAAAGACAACACTCATGATCTTGGCGTTAATTAGGGGAGTTTAACAAGTTGCAAATCAGGATAGAAATGTGAAGGATACAGTTCTTTTTTCCACAGGGCCTCCTTTCATTCATACCAGTGGACAGTTCTCTTTGTGGTCCTCAGCCTTTGAGCCACATGGCCCTGTGGCCTCTGTCCCACTTGGACAAGTGTTAAAAGGTGCTTCCAGGAACCCAAGGCACACAGCTTAACTCACTGCATGGACCAGAAAAGCCACTGCATGTGCTCTGCCGTGTGCTGGGCTTTGGGTGCACCTGCCTCTGCTGCAGCCGCCTCTCCCACACATCATCTCAGGCGTGCTTTGTTAGGTCATCAGTTCACACCTAGTCATCGCCAGAGGAAAGATGAGTTGTCTGCCCCCGTAAAGTTGCACAGCCTAAAACCCTACCTACGGTTGCTGGGAGTTGGAACCAACTTGGTGGCAGTAGGTTTGGGTTTTGTTTGGTTATCAAGCTCAAGGACCAGGAACTGGGCACATGCCTATTCTATCTTGCACCCTCTGTCTTGTTAGAAATTGTTCATAGACTCTTAGTATAGAATAAAGCTTTTATGTTGAAATACAACCCGGGCAAGGGCAGCCTGCTTGGTAAAGTCGCAGGGCACCGGGAAGGAGGAAGGCCGTCAAAGAGAGGGGTTGACACGGCGGTTGCAGCAGTGGGCTCGACCATACAATTGTGAGCACGCCTTTGGACCAGGCAGAATCTTCCTCCGGGGTGAAAACAACTTGATGACAACTAACAACAACAACAACAACAAAGAAAGTGTGTCGTGTTTTCTCTCCTGATATTTATAAAAGTCTAAGGCTGACTTAGTCAGTTCTGATCAAGCTAAATTATGGTTTTATTGGGGTGAATATATACCACCCCCCACCAAAAGGCCATTTTAACATTTCATACATGTACAATTTAGTGACATTTATTTTGTTCAGCATGCCAGGCACCCATCATCATGATTTGTTTCAAAGTTTTCTTCTCACCTGTAAGAGATGCTCAGTGCCCCTCAGAAGCCCCTGAAGCAATGACTCCCACTTTCCCCTCCCTCCCACCCTGGAAACCACTGAGTCACTGTGAGTTCTGGACAGGTGCTGCCAAGAGGTTTTGGAGACCTAGGTACTCCTAAAATTGTCTTTTGGGAAAAAGGACTTTTAGTATCTCCCTCGCAGGAATAAAACTTCAATGGGATAACCTGTGTGGCATGCTTAGCACAGTGTGCAGTACATAATAAGCACTAAATGAGTGATAATAATTACTCAAGGCAATTTGTCATTTATTGGGCACCAGTGATTGGCTCCATGGTGGTAAGCGTGGATGATGCTACAAGCCCATTGTACTTATGGCTCATAATATTGATTTAGCACCCAACTATTCTTCTGATGGCTGCCTCTGCTTTCAGCTTGGGACCCACTCTAGAACCCGAGGAAGTGGCCGATAAGCTGATGAACGGAATCCTGACTGAGAAGAAAATGATTTTTATTCCATTCTCATTGTGCATTTTAACAATAGTGGAAAGGTAAGAGACAATGGGGGAGAGTCGGTTAATGTAGAAATGAGATTTAACTAGGACAGGTCTCTATGGAGATTTCCAATCACATCCTGTAGTTGATAAAGAACAATTGATTACATGAGAACCATAAGAATAGGCTGGGTTCGCAGCCCAATTCACTCACCAGCAAGGCTCCTGAGTTCACTGTGAGCACCCAGTCAGTGTCGCATGTCAATATGTAATACAATGAATACTGCAAGTCCCTGGGTGGTGCAAACAGCTAAGCACTCAGCTTAGCTACCAACCAAAAGGCTTGGGGGTTTGAATCCACCCAGAGATGACTCCGAAACAAGGCTAGTCCATCTCGTTTTGAAAGCTTATGATCAGTTCCACTCTGCAACCCATGGACTCACCTTGAGTTGGCAATTAAGTATGATAATGGATATTATCATACCAAACATTATTAGTAAGATCATTGTTACCATTATTGTCATTGTCCTGATCTCCTTTGTGACGTAGTGGGTACACATTGGGCTGCTAACCTCAAGGTCAGCAGTTCAAAACCACCAGCTGCTCCACAGGAGATAGATGAAATTTTCTACTCCTGTAGAGTTACCATCTCAGAAACCCACAGGGACAGTTCTACCCTGCCCTACAGGGTGGCTGTGAGTCAGAATTGACTCCCACGGCAGTGCATGAGACTTTTCCTCTGACTGCAAGCGTTTGATGTTCCGTTCGCAAATCCTACTGTAATGCCATCTGGCTCATCTCTGTAAACACAAGTATATATCTTGTTGTTACACAGACTTATATACTTTCTCAGGAGAATGAGAACATGACAAGTTACTAAATATTCTTAAGTATAGGGGCAGGGGGAAGAAAAAATATTATCCCTGTTGTTATGATTTTAATACGTCCACCCAAAATATGCATTGTAATTCCTAGCCTTTAATCACAACAGGACAAATATGATTATGAGACCAGTGTTATTGAGAAGAAAGCAAAGCAAAACAAAAGTCCAAGATAAAAGACTTTCATACCAAAGTGAATTCAGTTTGAATATTGCCGATGGGGTAGGGGAAGGCAGCGGGAGAAGATAAAGCAATGGGCTAGACCAGGGGTCGGCACACTTTTAAGGCAGAAGAACCAATCCCATCCCACAAAATTTCAAAAGTATTTGAGAGCCATAAATATATTTTTACAAACAAATGAAATCACCATTATCTAAATAATATCCCTTAAATGAATAATATCCCTTAAATGAAACTATGGTTGTTTTATGTTCAATTTTACTTCAGAGCCACTTGTATGGACCCAAGAGCTGCCTGTGGCTCTGGGGCTGCAGTTTCCATTTTAGCATGTGGGATTTCAACTCAAAAGCTAAATACCTTGTTCAACATTACACTCAAAACCAAACGTGTGTCTGCATTGTCAGTAATTCTACTTCCCCGTCTTTTTCTGGGAGTATGCTATTATTCGTATTCGTTATAAAATGTACTCTTAGCCCTCCACTCACTTCCTTTTCAATGTCAGGATCCCTTTTTTCAAACGCGCTAACAGGTCAGGGGTTCAGTTCTATACTCCTCCTCTGCTAGATTGTTGAAAGACGCCAAAAGTTTGGCGGGGAGAGGGGGGAATGGAATTAAAAGATCATGGAAGCCCCCTCACAGTTGTTTTTCAAACTAGGTATATATATATATTCAATATACCACGCACAAGTGAATTTCAGCCTCATTAAACGTCGGCCTCTTTCAATAGTCCAGCATGGTTACTTTTGACCATATGTGTATAATCAAGGTGCGAGTCATGGTGAAAGAAGTCATGATGTGAGTTTGGTAGTCCCCAGTAATTGGAAAATAATATAGTCACTCACTCCTACTTTAAAAAAGGATCAACCTTCCTTTTAAGAAGGAAAGGGACTTGTGGGCAGGACAATAGTGGTCACCACGTTACCGTTTCCAGTCTGTTCAGGAAGAACACAGATGGGGTTGATCCATAGGAAATTGAACATACACAGAAAAAGAAGATATTTTACAAATGTGTTCTTTTCTAACTGCCTGTCTATCCTGTTTTCCTTTAGGATGTTCCCTGAGCGCTTCCTGAGACTCTTAAGACGAAGGATCAATATTAAGTTTGATGCGATTATTGGATATAAAGCTAAAGGACAATAAGTGCATTTTCCTTTCTGGAAAACGGATCGGTACATGATTTTTAAGTTCATCAGTTAATCAGAATCTTACTGTGTATGTGGGCTTCTGCTTTTCCTGACTCTTTTTTTCCTTCCTTAGCATCTCTTGTGACTTTGGCAGTTGCCATTACTATGACTTGTCCTTTAGCTGAAGCTGATTTCACAGGACACAAGAGAGAATGGCACAAGAGTGATTTTATGGGGAGAAAACTTTTTTTTGCAATCATTTCCGAGATTTCTGGCTCATCTGAATGCTTTGCATAATTGTACTACAATTGTTAAAGATATATTTTTATCTCTAATTACACTTACATGTCATGTTCTTTCCTGTTCTACATGCACAGTCTACACATCTTTTTCCAACAGCTCACTGCAACAAATAATGTGCACACACATATAAATGGTGGCAAAAGTTCTGGCTCAGCGTATCCACGAAAACACCACGCACAAGTGAATTTCAGCCTCATTAAACGTCGGCCTCTTTCAATAGTCCAGCATGGTTACTTTTGACCATATGTGTATAATCAAGGTGCGAGTCATGGTGAAAGAAGTCATGATGTGAGTTTGGTAGTCCCCAGTAATTGGAAAATAAATCGTTCGTACTGTGCATGTGCTGTAGGCCAGGGTGCCACTGGTCCCAGGAGCCATGATGTTTCCTGTCTGTCGCGCTGGGAAGGGGTGGAATGCTACATACAACACAGCACATCAAAAGGGCCCCAGCCCCACGGCAAAGCCTGGCAGCAGGACCATTCAGGTTCTGACTGTTGGACATCTGGATGTCTTGTCAGACCGACCTCATCTAAGGGAGGGATGGATGTCCCCTCTGTCCCCATGGCTCTCCCACCTGCCTTGCCTCTGCCACACGGGCAGGAAACTCCCACAATCCCAGAGCAACAGCTGGTCTCCCCCAGCCCCCCAGCCCCAAGGGGCCTGTCTGAACTGGGTGTGCAGACTCCCCCATTTCCTGGATTGAAGACAGCCACCTTGCTGAGAACTGTTTCGAGGGTAGGGGAAAAATGATTTCTTCCTTCGTAGCAGAAGGCTGTTGGCAGAGCCAGGAAGGAATCCGGCCAGGTGGCTTTAAAACTCCATGGGCGGCGGCTGCAGGCCTGCTGCTGGGAACCAGCTCTCCACGTCAGCAGGCACCTAGATGAAGATACGACATGGAGAACAAACTATATGAGCTCGAAGTCAGCAACATGTGCAAAATTATTACTGTAGTGCACTTATGCGCACATAGCGCCTAGGGTATAAAAAGAAAGGTATAGCATACTCATTATTTGTGCAAAAATGCTGGAATCAGAAGCTTCTAGCTCGCTAAGTATAATGAAGGCTTGTATCATGTCACTGTTTCATATGATGTAAGAAGTACCTCTCAAATGCCGTAGCCTGCACTTTACTGCTGTGTTTCATGAGCATTACCTCACATCGTCGACAACAAGCATTTCAACCCAGGAACATGGGGACGGGCACAAATGGCAAATATGAGAACTTTGTTGTTGTTGTTATTGTTTCACTTTAGGGTTGTTGGGTGTTTTAAATCATTTTATTGGGGGCTCGTACAACTTTTATCGCAATACATACATGCATACATACATACATTGTGTGTCAAGCACATTTGTACATTTGTTGCCCTCATCATTTTCAAAACATTTGCTTTCTACTTGAGCCCTTGGTATCAACTCCTCATTTTAAGTATGAGAACTTGACTGAACTTTGAGGCAGAGAATCAGGAGATTCAAATGGCAGCAGTCATGAATGGATCATACTTAAACTTTTGGTGTTTCTATCTTCATTGCTTGAAATGTTTATTAGCCTTCAAATAAAAGACTTAACGGTCTTTTTTGTCTTTTTTTGAGCATCTGGAATCTTCATGATTGTCAGGCACCATGAGATGGGACTGTAAGATCAGACTTATAAATGGAAAGGTGGGTTCCTTAGGTTTCTCTTAGGGAACAATATTATCAAGACTATTTATATTAGACACACAAACTGAAGGTCTTTGTTCTTTAGAAAGTTCATAATCAGAAAACTTAAGGCAATTAGGTTATCAAACTTTAGGGTGAAAAACTTCAATCTACGTATATGCTAAGCATATACTACTATTTATTCAACATGGATCATTTCTAGTTCCTAAACATGTGACTTGTGTTAGCTCATTCATGAAGTTAAGGGATCTTATTAGGGCCACAGCAGATCAAGGATAATCTGTACAAGGAAGGTTTTCCCTATAGATTTTGTACTGTTGGATGTTAGCATAGATTCCAGCTCACAGCATTTCCATATGTCAGATTCTTGAAAAAACAAAACCCAAACTCACTGCCATCAGTCAATGCCAATTTATAGTGAACTGCTCCTATGAATGTTAGGGACCTGGAGCGATTTCCCTTTCAATAGAATGAGATCAAACACAAGGCTGCTATTCAGTGAGGCCTTTATTAT